CCATGTTCTTGTGCCGAAAGAGATAACCTAACTGTATATGGTCAATCTTTTCATACTATTACTACCTTAATATAAGGGGAATTTTTGTTTCTTTTTTTCCTTTCTTAGAAGAAATGAACCTCATGCTGAGGGCACTAATTAGGAATTGGGAAAAAAAAAAAATTTTTTTACTTGCTAGAAAGAGCAAAACCTTTGGGCGGCAATTAATGCTAACGGTGTGGGTAACCAAATGCATGGTCAACTTCCCTCTGCACCCTTTTATTACAGCTATAAATTCCTCTACATCCATTGCTCCTTCTCATCACTTCTCTCTCATTTGATTCATTCTTGTAGAAATTTTCTTTGTCAACCATCCTACTAGTGTAGTAAATCATCATATCATAGTCGTCATTTTCAATTTGGCGGTGAATATACTAAAAAGAGTATGGTATTCCCAATGGTACTGCTCAAATTAGCAGACTGGCTAGTGTACAAAATTCTAGCCAACTCATATTACAGAGCTGCAACTAAGGTAAGAAATCATGGGTTTTTCCAGAGAAATCCATCCTTCAGATCATCAGCATCACAACTTCCTCTATACCCTAGCGTGACCAAATGTACTCTCGACAATAGAGGGTCTCAAACTTTGGTTTGTGATATCCATGGTTGCTTACTGAGATCAAAGTCTTTCTTTCCTTTTTTCATGTTAGTTGCTTTTGAAGGTGGTAGCATTTTCAGAGCCTTTTTCTTGCTTTTGTCATGCCCTTTTTTGTGGGTTTTGGACTTCGAACTCAAACTTAGAGTTATGATCTTTATCACATTTTGTGGGCTTAAGTTAAAGGACATGGATAATGTGACAAGGGCTGTTTTGCCTAAGTTCTACCTCGAGGATCTCAATCTTCATGTTTACGAGGTTTTAGCTTCAGCAGGCAATAGACTTATCTTTACCAGCTTGCCTAGCGTAATGGTTGAGGGTTTTCTTAAGGATTATCTGAGTGTTCAAACTGTTAAAGGGACCGAGTTGCACACGAGGGGACAGTACTATACTGGTCTGATATCTAGTTCTGGATTGTTTGTTAAGCATAAAGCTTTGAAGGAATTTTGCGGGGAAAAAATGCCGGATGTTGGCATTGGAACTCCAACGCTTCATGACCAGTTGTTTATCTCCCAATGCAAGGTAAGCTTCTGAACCCTTGGTTTTTAATAACCAATATGACCTATGTTCGTTTGATCCACATATACGGGGCCGATGATATGGTTATTGATATTTCATTTGTCTTCTGGTACTTAGATTCTGTTTTTGTTTTTTCCCCTTTTTGGCCCACAATAGATTTGTGTAGGTACAAGGACAGCAAAGATACTAAGACAATACTTTTCTCCTAGTCAACCTCAATAATTTTTTGGTTCTAAGATTTTGAAAGCAATGTCTATTAGACTTTGAATGCTGAAAGTTGCAGAAGTATATAAGACAAGCAATGCCATAAATATTGCATTATCCATCGATCCAATCTTGATAAACCCATATACTGGTTTTCTGATAAAACTAATGGACACTAAATACGAACATTTTACCAAATATAGTTTTTGTTTTTGTTTTCATTTTCGAATTAAAAAAGAATTTGTTGTGTAATGCATGTTCTTTCTAATGTTTAAATGATTCATCTTTGCGGCTTTAGAAATTGTTGTGTTTTTTTTTTAAAACAGTTTATCTGACGCCTGATTATGCATACTTGTGATTTGTGTAGGAAGCTTATGTGGTCATCAAAGAAGATCCGAAGTCACGCACAAATTCAGTCATGCCAAGGGAGAAATATCCAAAGCCATTAGTATTCCACGATGGGAGACTAGCATTTCTACCAACCCCTATAGCAACCCTCGCCATGTTCATGTGGCTCCCTCTTGGAATACTTCTAGCCATCTTCAGACTCTTTGTTGGCATATTCTTACCCTACAAACTAGCCATTTTGTTAGGTACATTGAGCGGTGTCCGCCTCAGAGTCAAAGGCCACAATCCATCAGAAAACTCCCAAAATGCAAAAGGAGTCCTCTATGTTTGCACTCACAGAACACTATTAGATCCTGTTTTTCTCAGCACATCTCTTGGGAAACCATTGACTGCAGTGACATATAGTCTGAGCAAAATGTCTGAATTTCTGTCACCAATTAGAACTGTTCGACTAACAAGAAACAGGGAACAAGATGGTGAAGCCATGCAGAAATTATTATCTGAAGGAGACTTGGTAGTTTGCCCTGAAGGAACCACATGCAGAGAGCCATATCTCTTGAGATTTAGCTCCTTGTTTGCAGAATTGGCTGATGAAATTGTGCCTGTGGCCATGAATACAAATGTGACCATGTTCTATGGGACAACTGCAAGTGGTCTCAAGTGTTTGGACCCTATCTTCTTCTTGATGAACCCTATGCCTCGCTACAGCATTCATGTTCTTCCCAAGGTGCCTAAGGAGTTGACCGTGGCTGGTGGAAAATCTAGCCATGAGGTGGCCAATCATATTCAGAGACAATTGGCTGATGCCCTGGGATTTGAATGCACTACTTTAACAAGGAGGGACAAGTACCTGATGCTTGCTGGAAATGAAGGCGTGGTTCAAGATCGTAGAAAGAAATCATGTGGGACTAAAGTACAGAAACAAAATGTAGCTGAATTTACTACCCTTGAAGATTTACAACCTTAGTGGGATTGATTTTTTCTTTTTCTTTTTCTTTTTCTTTCTGTTGGTGAAGTTCTTATATATATCCATATTTGGTTGGTCTTGCTAGGCCTTATCTAATATATCTCTCACAGTTTTGTGATGAATGATACTGGGAAATATATGAGCTTTTATTGAGCAGTTATCGCAAGAGCAAGTCATAAATGAGTGCATGGAACAATCTATTGACTATCTTTTCGTTTTCTTTTTTTTTTCTTTTTCTATCATAAATGTGGATCCATGTTTGTTTCATTTAGAGTAGAATCACTAAATGAAGTTGAAGTCTAGAAGAAGATGTTACGTCCTTCGGCTGGTGTTTTTGCACCTCAACAGACGAATCCAATCAATTTCTCCCATCCTATGGTTTTGTGTAGCTAGATTTCCATGCCAACATATACAAATAGCAAAAATATAAGGGAGTATATAGATGTAGTTGTGAATTCGTAGTACATGGAGAAACTTGTGTATGTGCCTTTATAGCAAACTCTAGTTCCACCGACTAAGTAACTTGCAATTGTCACCTTACTAACACACGAGAGAACATGCCAGAGCAACGTGGATCCACATTTTTATTTCTTCTGTTATAAGAAACTAATCATTTCACAGCTGGGGTAGGTAAATATTATTATCAGTAGTAAATAAATCATGTCTGCTTTTCTATTGTTGTTTCCTTTCCAAGGCCCACAAGTTTTTCCTGAAAAATATGCCTTTATTTTTAAAGGGCAGTCTCTACTTGTACTTTATTGCATTTAAGTGAATCATGTGCAAAACTGCAAATGCATGAACCCCCTTTTTTTTTGTCAAATCTTGAAATAAATTCAAGATGGATTACCAGTGTATGGGTTTGCTTATTGACTCATGCACCTATATTCAAGCTAAGAAGCTGTGATGAGATAAATGATTTAGGTAATTGTCTGGACAAGGAGTCACAGTACCTAAGAAGTCAATTTTGGTTAAGGGTGATTACTATTCGATTTACTTGTGAAACTACGAGAGTATCTAAAACTTTAGAAAAAAAAAAACTACTCCCTCAATCTCAAATTTCACAAAAAAACTAAAAAAAAACTCTCATAAGGAAAAACTCATTAGAGAATAAAACTCTCACTAGAATAATTTAGGAGAGAAAAACTCTTATTAAGAGATTTTAGAAGAGAGAGGAATCTCCCGCTAAGAAAATTTAGGACAGAATTTATTCAAATAAGAGAAACTAAAAAATAGAGAAAGTGCTCCCTCCCATGGGAAAAGATCAAATTTGGTCTCTCTTCCATAAGAGAGATGATGAAGAAGATTTTAACCGGAAGAGTTCTAAAGAGAATGGAGAGAAAAGAGTTTGGAAAAACATTAATTACGAATTAAAAATTCACTTTGTTTGGAAAACACAAATTTCAATTGCTACGGTACGCATTTTGAATTACCTTTTCATTTTTTCAGTAACTTTTTAATTTTTCAACCACCTCTGTATCTTATCTTACTTAATACATTATATCGCAAAAAAAAAAAATTATAATAAATAAGTTTTTAGGGGAAAAAAAAAGATTTCCCAAGAACCTTTTACTGAAAAGTATATAAAAGCTTGAAATACAATTCGAAAATGAAGGAAACCAAATCAAACACAAAGTTGCAAAAGTTTGGCAATGGCATGTGCAGTTTGACTCGTGAGTGTTAGTGTAAAGGAGACGAAATAGTTATTATTATTATTATTATGAAAATTTCATTTACTTAGCAACTACCATTCCCTGCATCGAGATGCGTGCGCACAATCATGGGGATTATGATATGGTGTGTCCTCATCTTCTGAACTTGTATGAATGTTACTACTAGAATTCAAGTACACTGTCGTCGTCCCGAATTGAATTGAATTCTGGGTTTTTTTTTTTGTTTTAATAAATGTTGTTGTCTGCAGAATTCAGAAAGTTTTTCTGATCAGATAGCTGTCGAATTGTTTAACTGCAGCTCTCATAACAGTTAAATTTTGTTAAAGAAATCAGAATCACACGTTTCTAATTCATTCTTATTAATGATTATTTAAATTTTTTTTTTCATATTATTCTGTTTATCACTTCTATTATGTGATGTAGGACTGGTGACGACTCGAGCTGCTTGCGAGCTGCTCACGAGCTGCTCGAGTCAAAGCTCGGCTCGAGCTCGTGTTGACCGAGCTCGAGCAGAGCTCGAGTAGTTCGTTAAGATAAACGAGGCAAGCTCGAGCCTTCGTTTCTTAGGCTCGATAGCTCGACGAGCCGCTCGTTGGGCTCGAGTAAGTGTGAAATTACAAAAATACCCTTGATTCAATTAAAATTTACATGTTCTCTGCACACTAAGCTATAATCGATGTTCCGTGTTCGGCCACTGTTGGTAAACTTTCCTCCTTCCTTCGCTTAGGTTAACTTGTATGCTCTGCTCACTCCTTCGATTGATCTTCTTCCTCCGCCATCGACTGTCCCAAACTCCCGATTTCCACTTCCGTCACTGCCATTGCTGCTACCGCTAGTTGCATCTCGAGTTTCTTCACTTCCTCCCACTTCAGCCACAGCCATCGGTGCTACTGCTAGCTGCATCTCCACCGCTTCCGCCATCTCCACTTCAGCAACCTCCAAGCCGCGCAAGAATCTGAGTGCGCAACCCACTGCCGGAGACTGACTGACGGACGAGGATCTGGAAGGTGATCCACAGTGCCAAGAATCTGAGTGCGCAACCTCCCAATCTGATTGCGCAACCTCCTTTAGCAACCACCACTTCCGTACTTCCGCCAGCTCCGCTTCAGCTCCACAACCGCAAGTGCCAGCTCGACTAGCACTTTACTTTCCCTCTTTTCTCACACCAGGCTGACTGACGGACTCTCCGAAATCCGAACCCAACCAGCTTCCCGGCTCATCCCCATCTCCGAGCTTTGTCTAAGCTGTTCCGGCGGCACAAGTGTGCAACCTATTGAGGCCATCTCCACCACTCCCTACCGTGTCCAACATTCTTAGTGCAGTCCACTGGATTTTCTCCCTAGATTTTGCAGGTATGAACTGAGGTTCTTTTCCTCCTTTTCCTTTTCCTTTTCTTTGGAATTTGGAAGGTGAGTTCTCTGTTATTAGTATTTCTTTGTTCTGGCCAATTGCTGGTACTAAACTATGTTTGTTGGATATGAGTTGCTGCTGAGAGGTCTATGTTTGTGAATAGCTTATTTTGTGTCTGCTATTTTTATGTACTCAAATACTATTGTTGGCTTGTATATTGTCAAGATTTTAGACAAGTCTGTTTTCTAATTTACGTACATCGATTCTTTATGTCTCTTCTTCGTTTCAAAAGGAGATTTGAGATATTTTAGTTAGATGTGGAGTCAATTAGTTTAGTCGCTTTTTGTAATTTTGGCAAGCAGATACCCTTTTTTTTCTGCATCCTTTGTGGATAAGCCTCTGTTTGTCAACAGGAAAGTTAAAAATTTTGGGTAAGTTCCATTTAAGAATAAAGAATGTTATTACGAAGACTAAAACAGCTTAACGAAATTGGGGCTGAACTTTTGTGCCTATATATCTTTTCAATTGGATGTATCAAGCTGTCTACAACAGATATTTTGTGTTGTAAATTTGTGATAGCTTGTAATATTTTGAGCTTTGGCTGAAAAATTGGACTAAAAGACCTGTATTTCCTCGTATAATTTCATTTTAATGAGTATGTTTCTATCTTTTGAAGTTCTTGATGGATTGAAGGAGCTCTTGCATGTTGCCTGTAGGTTGGTTCGTAGATCCATTGCTGGCATTAGGGAAGATTACAAAGGTAATCTACTGAGACTGAGGGGATGTGTCTTTTCAAATATGTGCTGAGACAATGCTAAATATATTCCTGATCAGTGAAGTTATCATAATTTGTATTAATGGATTTTTGTGGACATTTGGATAATTTGTATTAGTGGATAATTTTTGGATAATTTGTATTAGTGGACATTTGGACATTTATGATTGTATTGGTGCATAATTTGTAGGCCTCAAGATCAAGAATATGTGAAAAATTGTAGTTATTTCATGCGCAAATTTTGTCAAAAAATGGGGAAAAAATGCTGTATTCTTGCTTAAAGTTTCAGAAATTTTCGAGCTATTTTCGAGTTCGAACTCGAGCTCCAAACGAGCTAGAATTCGAGCTGCTTTTGAGCTTCATGCGAGCTAGAAGATCGAGCGAAACTCAAGCTTTTCGCGAGCCAGATTTCGAGCTAAGCTCGCGAGCGATAAACGAGTCGATCTCTCGAGTTTTCCTTTTCTTACATCGAGCCGAGCTCGAGCTCTATTTTTCGAGCTCGAGCTCGAACTCGAGCTCTCATATAAATAAGCCTGACTCGACTCGATAAATTCAAAACTCGACTCGATTCGGCTCGTTTGCACCCCTAATGTGATGTATAAGAAATAAAATGTTAGTTGAAAATTCTAAAAAGTTTTGATCTAATGACTAAAATTGAGATTTCAAGAGATTTTGAATTTTAATTCCCTGTTCTCTTTCACCGTCATTTAAATTCCACCCCGCTTTTATTAAAAAAAAAATAAAATAACATGGTTGGCATATGTGTGCAGGTTTTTATTTTTTTTTTTGGGCTGCTTCAAATAATCATTAGTCCAAACCCAAAGCACAAAACAATTTTTAGTAAATCTCACTGGGACTAGCATTTCAGTTGGGTTAGTTGGCTCCAATATCGGCCCATTGATTGGAAGACTGGAAACTCTGGGCTTTTGAGATGTATGCCCCATCTAATTTGCTTCAAACTAATCAGATCTCCCAAACAAGAGCGGTCCATCCTAAGGACCGGATATGTATATATATATATATATATATATATATATATATATATATATATATATATATTTTTTTTTTTTTTTTTTTTTTTTTGCTGACGGAGTGAGTGTCCGGATCAATGTTTGCGGGGTCTGACCCATTCCCCCGAACACGATAACCACGGGACTCGGACCCTTGCGGGCACTGGACACCAGCTATTAAAGAGGCTTGTTGAGACCAACCGAGTTGCTCATGAGGGATAGATTGAGCATAAGGATTTAGATAGTACCATTTCAACGAGCCCCATTTTTTTTTTTTTTTGGGGTGGGTAAACCATAGCTGGGTTGTTTCACCTCTACCGGGTGAGGTCGGAGCCTCGGAGGCATTTATAGAGTACATCAACATGGTCGTGACATCGAAATTTAAACACACAATTTTTGTGATTGTAACATCGAGAATGGAATTCAAAATCCCTTTTTGTTTTTTAATGATGAAATGGTCAATTCTTATTAATTGAGCTAACATTTGTTGACATAAATGTTTCCTCTAAATGGTTGAAAGCCCATCGAACAAACTCAAAACTAGATGGTCCCAAAAATTCTGTAAAGAACATTGACTAGCTTACTAGAGTCCTCTAATTGGCCTATCAAGGTCTAATAACTGCAAAAGTGGATTTTAGGAGGGCATAGGCTTCAAACTCTCAGTAGCAAAGGGCACCAACTCATATCTCCACGGATAAGAATCATCTTATTCTAGTTGATAAATTAGTGTTACTAAGACTACTCCTCGTGTATTTATTCACATTTTTGTATCTTTGTTTTTGAGGTAAGGCTTTAGTCTCCCTTGCTGATTTAATGAATAGAAATAGGATTAGCATCCCTCTCCCGTGTACACAGAATTTATCCAAAAAAAAAAAAAAAAGGGTTACTAAAGTCAACATCAGTGGTCAAACGCAATGCATAAGTCAAATTTTCTCTTGTGAGTTGTCATCAAAACTGCTTGCATTTGTTAAAATAAGAAGTTGGTCTTAACATAAAAAAGAATTAACAAAATCAACTTGCATATTCTACGTAATATAAAACAAGGCAATTAATATAATCGAGAAAGTAAAGCAAGATGCTTGATTGATATGATCTACATACACTTAACTTTTTTTTTTTTTTTTTATACGATAGCTTTTTATACTATAGGGAGGGGGAAGGCCTGAAGAGATTTTAGGATAACCTGGAAGGAATTGAACCACCATTGAAGCACACGACTGCACTACGTAGCTGTCTGGATTTTTTAAATAAGGTCACATTTAATTGTGGCAAATTGGTGGGAGGGAAGGTATCTACTTTGTGCTCCCTTCCTCATCATTTGGCCCCGTATTATTGATTATTCACATCTCCATCTGGTATTGTCTGTTTCCAGGCTTGAGTGATCAGTATCCCTTGTGCATGTGAATTTCATCCAATAATTGTTTGATTCACACGTGAAATAGAAATAATGTCTCAACTTCTTTTCTAGCAAGGGGGCATATACTTATATTATTTATTTGTACTATTCCATCATCTAAAATATTATTTCTAGTACTTCTCACTAGAGGAAAAGTAAAATTGAATTTGCAAAAAAAAAAAAAAAAGAAAGAAAGAAAACTAACTAATTTTCTATGTTAGTGCCTTCTTATTGAGAACAACTTTTTTCTTAAAATAACAATTAGAAGAATTTAACCAGCAAATTAAATGTGGGATAGGTACATCGGTGAAGAATTATGATGAACTTCACGTAGGTGTTGGGCAGACATGCCTAATGCATCATCCACCGTTCGATCATGCCATCCATTTCTCAGAGCTTGATTCAACCGTCTGATGAAACCTGGTTTTTCCAACTCACAGTAATTCAAGAATTGTGCCACGGCCTTAGGATTCTTGCTCTTCCAGCAATTGCTGTCTTTCTCCATTGATTCCAAATCCAAGCTCCCAAAACCTAATAGCCCACCGGAAGAAACAGCTATATTGCTTAGGTACTCAACAATGCCGTTGATAAGAGTTGACGGGGCATTGCCTTGACCATCCCATAGCCATATACGTGCCATGCCTTGTTGTACTGCTAAGAACATGGCATGGCTAAAATTTGTCTCCTCCAAGACTGAAGGACTAATATGAAGAACAAACTGATGGCCGCGATCATGTTCTTGGCCGGAGTCAACAACGATGGAGCTCGATAAATTCCGGCTGGAGAGCCGGAGGATGACATGGTTGACTTTCTTCTTAGGGAAACTACCGTTAGGGTAAAGAAAATCTTCAACAAACTTGCTTGTGGTGAGAAGTAAACGTGAAGCTTCATCATTTGACGCATAAAAAAGATCGAAACGCTTTCCCGGGGATGTTTCGCGAGCTTCGTTGATAATGGATATTGAAAATCCCTTGGAGGCTTCATGGTTTGCCCATATGGAGACTATTCCAATGGAGATGATGAAAACTAGCCTGGAAATGATCCCTGATGAACTTGACAAGTAAACTTTGGCCGAGTTACTAGTGAATTGAATCGGTAAGCAGATGTCTTCGGTTGCGGCGTTAGTGGGGGTGGCGGTGGAGGGTAGGAGGGATTGGAGGAGATGTTGATTCTCTACATCCATGGAAACTGGAAAGAATTATTAAGAATGGAATGTCGTGTTGTACAAGGTGTTGAATTTGGAGTGAATAGAACACGTTATAAGCAATGTTTTGAAATTTAGACCGTTGATTGAACCGGTAGAGTGTTCGGATTGAGATTTAATCGGTCGGATCGGTTTAACTCTGGTTCAATAAATTTTTTAAAAAATAATTTATATAAATATATATGCACAAAATAAGACATGCATTGGACTAATTTAAAACTTTTTGAGATGAAAAGTTTAATATTTTCAAAGAACTTGGATTTTCACAAATAAATTGTTAAAATTATAAGTTGAAACAAATAAATTTCATTTCAATCTTACTTAAATTTACTAAAAAAATAATCTTATATCCAATCCAAAAATACCACAATATTCCAAAATTATACAAAATTCACGTCTATGAGAATTAGGCATTGTGAGTTTAAATTTTAATTCACATTTTTTATATTTAAAGATTGCAACTTTAAAAATAAAAAAGAAGATTGGAGTTTGGAGAAAGTCAAGAAAATAGAAAATAGAGATACAAACTTGATAAGAGGCCAAAAATGAAAAGAAAGTGAGTGGATGTGATATTTAATAATCAGTCTTTAATGTTAAGGAAAACTTATCTTTTAAATTTTTTTCAATTTAATAGACAAGAACAAAAAAATAACCGGTTCAACTGTTCAATCCGATCTACAAAATTCGAATAGTTTAATCCGATTTTAAGTCTAGTTAACCCAAAATATGAATAGGACCGGAGCTATGACCAATTTGCGGTCCGACCGATTTTCAAAACATTGGTTATAAGAAGCATAGTGAATGGCCTGGATAGAGGGGTCCTTTACCTCTCCCAGTACCCCATTGTTTAATCTATCTGTCGTGTCGACAATAAAGTCGATCTGCAGTATGAATTTTGCACGCCATTGTAGAGTATAACCGTAAACAAATGTTCCACCCCAAACATCTTTCTTTCTTTTTTTTTTTTTTTTTTTCAATTCTGTACCAACGAACAAGGATCATTTTGCTATAATAGAGATTTATGATACGCTAAGAGCCTTATTCTTCTTTCCTTCTTTGTTTTTTTTTTCTTCTCCCTTCATGTCAATTCTGCCCTAGAAAATGATAGAGGAAGTCTCAAATTTGGATGGAGGAACCCATGTATGTTTGTTTTGGCTTAAATCTAAGGGTGGATTTTGATTTAGCCCTTCGAAATAGGTCAATGTATCAATTCAATCCCTAAAAGTGAGCAACTTCCAGTCAAACCCTCTCTAACTGGAACTTCCATTCCAAAATAAGCTGTTTCATCATTTCAAGTTTGGTTAATAAAATGTTTAACTAAACTTTAGCAGTATATATAGTTAAATTCAATTACCGCAAGTTTTTAGAAACTTCTAGAGCTGTTAAACGAACCGAGTTGTTCGTTAGCTCGGTTCGTTTCGACTCGTTCGTGTTCGTTAAAGGCTCGTTCGAAAGCCTTACACGAACGAACACGAACGAATTTTTATGTTCATTTAATAATTGAGCGAACACGAACATGTTCGCGAATTTTAACGAGCGTTCGCGAACAAGGAGTTACTTTGTTTTATTTGTTGTTTTTATGTTAATGTTGATTATGCAGTTATTGAATAATGGAATTTAGTCATTTAG